GCCTGCCTGCCTGCCTGCCTGCCTGCCTGTCATCCATCCATCTATCCATCCATCCATCCATCCATCCATCCATCCATCCATATCCAAAGATTTTTTTATTGTTTTTATCATTTTTAATGTGTAAGCCTAGAGTCACTTGTAGAGTGAGATGGGCGGCATATAAATTTGATAAACAAACACACAAACAAATAAAATCTGTCCACTCTTGGAAAATGGATGCTGGAATAGACAAATAGTTGAACAGATTCAGCAATCGCTTTTGTTCTTGAAGGCAGGGTAAAGACTCCACAGGTGGGTCACTTGCAAGTTCAGCATATTTACCCCACTCTCCCAATACTGGTAGAGGGGAAATTGAGTCCTCTGGATGAGCTGTCCTCTGCAGAGGAATCAAGAACTCCAGGAGCCACCAGTCCATGTCTAACAAGGGAAGGGTGCTAAAATAACTCCTACAGGATGTGTGGGTGAGCACATAACTCCAATGTTACTGAGCCTTCAGGAGCACAAAGGCCCGATGAAGCAAAACCAGAGCGCTGAGATGCAAAAAGAAGAAAAGAGAATAAAAAACAAAAGATATATTACAAGGAAGAACTTGAGAGACATTTGCCCATTCAGGAGTGACTTCTGGCTTAAGAGCAACTCTTCTGAACTGCCGCATTAGCAGCTGCAGCACTTGATTGACTTTATCTGAGCTCTGAAACTAAGCAGGGTTGCGCCTGGTTAGTATTTGGATGGAGCACTACCAAGAAGCCCCACAGCTGGTGGAGAAGTGGAAGAAACATCCTACCAGGAATGCCAACCATATAGTTGGCAGGAAAATAATATAGACATGACCACGTCAACAGGAGTGGAGCTCAACGCAGAAGCGTTCTTACTTTTTTCTGTTTTGCTAACTTTTAAACACGAGGGCAACCTCTCATCCTCAAGCCCTTTGCAAGAAAGCTCTTCAGGTCCTGATAAGAGCTATCTGTTCCTGCCGTGTGGCCTGTTGCTTCAGCCTCACCCACACCATGCAGTCTCCAAGAGATTATCCCAGTTCTTAACAGAAAGTAGGATGTGAGCCATACAGGATAGAACACTGAAGCCTTTCATTTGCAGCAGATCACTGCTTAAACAATGTTAGCAAACTTGTTTGGTTCCTCACCCTGATCCTGGCACCCTGGTGCTGAACCACAGGCTGCCAATACTGTATTGGTTTGCCTTGCCAGATGCATTGACTGCTGTTGTACTGCTTTCTGTTCTTATTTACAAATGGTTTTAAGTCTTTGGAAAGCCACCTTGCAGCAAACAAGCATCAACAAACAGAAGGTGCCAAGTTCTCCAGATCTTCCTCCTGCACGCTGTTTTGACATATTTGTGGCGACTGGTTCAGGTTCAAAGGTTAATGGACAGGTTTGACTAGGGTAGTAAGGTTAATAGAGTGCCATGAAATTCTTGAAAGGTTCTAGGTAGACTTCTCTCTCCCAGATCTAAATATGCATAAAAATATGTGCTACCTTACAGGACTGTAGAATTAAAATTAGACATTTAAATTATGCCTCAGCAGGTGATAGCACCTGGTCAGCCTTGTCTGGATTGGAAAGCTAGGTAGGATTATTCCTACTTAAGATGTAGATGGGACACCACCAATGAATCTCAGAAATGGAAGCTAGACTGGAAAGTTGGAAGAAGTCCCAGAAGAGGTTAAAGGCAAATCATTTCCATACTACAGCCAAGTAGTACCTGGATGGCCATGAAGTCACCAAGAACCTCAAGTTCAAGGAGACTTCACTGTTTAATCTAAGTTATATGTAAAACTGATTATTCATATTGCTGTTGTGAATTATTATATAACAGCTTTATTACTACCAAGATCAACTATTATCAAACATAGGCAACCTTTGATTCTTCGCTATTACATTTGAATATTACAAATAGATATGTAATTCCCCTTGGGAACTTTAGGTTAGAGAAGCTATCAGAGAATACTACAGATTCCTGCAACAGAGGAATCAATCAACATGACAGAGAACTACTCTGGATGAAGAGTAGTAAAGGAGCACTCCAAATAAATTAATTCACTGGACAGGATCCAGCCAAAGTTGAGCATTTCTTTCTTAGCTCCAGAGGCAAAATGGAAGGATGTGCTCTGGAAATCAATAGGGTTTAAAAGTGCTTAACTCCGTTTGGACTGAGCCCTGTGTATTAATATGCCAATGGAATACAGGACACAGAACGATTGACTTCAGAATATCATCTCAACGTTGCATTAAATTAGAGCTGTCCTGTCAGCTTGCTTATATTTAGCAGTGTACTAATCCAGAAAAAGCTTTTCACATCCAAGAAGGATGCAAGGGCAATCAGGTAGCAGAGTAAAAGCTGCCTCTGGCTTTCAAAGCACTTTTATAGGTACAGATGCAACAGTCCCTCCACTTAAAAATCAGAACCTCCAGGCTTCATGAGAACTTTTTCTGGGCACCTTGGGAAAAAGTGGGAGTGTAAACGAGGGAGCACCGCAGCTTTCTTGGCTCCATTCAGCAGAGCGCTATCAGCAGTAGCTGGATCTTGAGCAGTTTTATTTTGAAGGCAAGCAGGGGAGTGAAAAGGAGAAGTTCAACAGCAGTAAAACCTTCTTCACCGATGCTTGCGTGGGAAACAGAAGGGAAGAAGATGCAAACTCACCCCCATAACTGGAAGACTCGGCAATGTTCTGTGAGCCAGTAATGTGATGCCAGTAAGCACTGCGTGGCAACATGGTGGTAGGTGTGCAGGGATAGGAGTAATGCTCTGTCCCCTTGTTCAACAACTGGAAAAGAAGGAGGAGCAGGAGTTTAGCTTCCAAAATCTGAACTGCGGATGGTGGGTCGCTGAACAGAAGGACTGTGTGCAATGGGGAAGAGAATCTGTGTCAAAGGACTTCCATAACTGCCTAATCAGAGTTCCCTGAAGGAGTCTCATTGATCTCTATTAGTCTGGCATAAAGGGGGCACTTTATTAATTAATTTAATTAAAAAGTGGTCACAACAACTATGCCTCCTTCATTCCCTCTCCTCCCAACAGTATCTAGCAGTCAAAAGGCTTTGCTACCTTACATGGTCTACTGCAGTGTTTTTCAACCTTGGCAACTGAGATGCATGGACTTCAACTCCCAGAATTCCCCAGCCAGCCAGAAGTCCACACATCTTAAAGTTGCCAAGGTTGAAAAACACTGTCTACAGGAAGCTGCCCTGATACCACCCCATCCAATCTCATGAAGCTTCCTTCCTCCCCATTCACCAATGGGTTGCTGGTTTTCATCTCCCAGTTTGAAAGCATCCATCTAAAAAAGAAAGAAAGCACGACACCATCTAACTCTGCATCGACACCCAAGCTGTGAGAGACAAGCGGAGATCAGACCAGGTTGGTGGACAGCAGGTCTGTCACCCATTCAAGATACATAAGCCAGAGAAGTCCACATTTGCAAAACGATTGTTCTTATTTTACAATAGTAATTGTGGTTTGCAGATCTTGGGCTGGGGGAAAGAGGTATGCATCTGGTACTCTTGCTACAATCTGTGTTTTGGAAGACCTTTCAAGTGGGTGTCAGGAATGACATGGAAAGCAGTCTGGGTACAGAGAGATAACGAAGACTCCTTTAGCGTGGACAGTTCTGGTATGCCCCTGATAAAAGACAGATCTCAGATAACGGAGGGGGTTGGTTTTCATTGTACCTTAATCTAGGGTTGAGGGCTGCGTACAGATCCAAAGAAGTTTATTTTTTATTTTTTGTTTTGGGGTACAGTTAAGGCACTCACTTTCCCCCTTAACTCCATTCATCCTCCCCACAACACCAAAGGGCCAAACATGTCCTTGGCTACACTAGTGTCATCGTAATCATGATCCCACTCTTTGGAGTCCACGAACAGGGCCCCAAAACAGATTTTGACAAAAGGTTGTTCGTCTTAAACCTAAGCAAAACTGACCTAACGTAGTTACTTAATTTTCCCGTTCCATATGACTATTTAATTGCTGTTGTAAAGCAGGAGAGATGAGTTAAAAGATACTTATATCAATTAAAGAAGTTAGACTAATGACACTCAGCACCTCCCTGATGCTTTAAAGAGGTCACAAGCATCAACCTCCCTTCCAGGTCCGAATCCACCTTTTCCACTTCTCTGCGCAATGCAGGCTCGATGTATACAGCTCAGTTTTGCAAGTGATGGATGATTTCTGGACTGTGACTTCCCATCTCTAAAGTAGAACCTTCTACAACTTGGCAGCTTCCCAAAGCCAGCAGGGGCTTTTGGTTCTCCCAACACATTTGGAGGATGCCTGGCAGGGATGGCTCAAAAGCATAAGAATGTCTGCATCCCCCTCCAGCAGCGGCGACAGACACTCACTCTCACGTTCTTCTCCATCTCCATCAGGACGCGCTTGTGCTGCTCGGCAATGGCCAAGGTGGCGCTGTGCACTCTCTGGTAGATCTGCTCGCCCTCCTGGGTCTGAAAGGTGTACAGCCCTTCGCCAGCGTCACACATCCTGCTAAGCAACAAGAAACATCAGCAGATCAAGGAGATTGCCGCAAAAGGGCATGTTGGACCCACGTTCAGCTCATATGCTCCCTGTCCTTACTCCCAAAATGCATAGGTTGGATTCACGTAACAAAGTACACCGTAGACCTTGATGAACCAGTACACAAGGCTCCTATGTGTACAACATGCTATGCTGAAATGAAACCACATGATGGCTTAAGGCAAAGACCTAGGTCATGCAACATGCAAAGGCAGTGGGTGAGCAGTGCCTCAATGTGCTGAATCACTATTACCCAACCCTTTTTAGTCTAGCGCTGGGTGAAACCAGCCACACAGTGCCAACAGAATTGCTTCACAGCTTGCGACACTTGCTAGCAGAGGGAATTGATAGCTGGTGCTCTAGCACGCTTCAAGACCACCAACTGCCATTAGCGGTATGGAAGCTACCAGCTCAGTGGGTATCAGAGCGGTGCGAAGAATCATCATGTTTCTACTTGGTTTTTAAAGTGGGTTTGACTTGCCTGGAGCAACATGGCCTTGCATACCTACAAACCAGCATGTCCTTAGATCATTAACCTGATGGTGGCCCCTGTGTGTCACTCACAGATGACAGCACCAGTTCCCTGGTGGTGTGGCTTAAGTGGGTGACCAAACACCGCTCAGCATTTTTTTGGAATGGTTTATTGAAGACAAAACTATTGGGACATCAGTTTGTGCCATCCCCAGATGAAGGTGATCAGCTCCATTTTTGATTAGGTTCTGATCTAGTACGGACATCCATGGATGTAAGTACATTAAAACTGGCAGCTGAAACATTGCAAGGCAAGCCTCCCCCTTCTAAAGGCACATGCGTGTTCAAAAGGGGTTGAACCTGCATCACAACATTGCAGCCACTACCCTACTGATTTAAACCAATTTCTGTTTCTTTCCACAAGCTAGACCTGTGGATATATATTTGACATTTGCTTCAAATCATTAATAGAATTTTACAGGTATCTTTGTGACGCACATCAGTTATGATTCACTAAGCCACAAACTTGCCCCTTTGTATGTTACACGTCCAACACACATAAAAAAGGAGTGGCTCATGGCTGCCATCTTGACTTTCTTGACCCCCACACCCCTGAATAAAAAGATACTCTGCTCAGATCCATCTTGACATTTTCTAGTTTCCACGAATCTTACAGTAATGAACAGCAACCACGTGGGGCATTTTGACATTTGTGAACCGGAAGCAGATGCAATTATTTCAAGACACTCATGGGGGCTTCCTATATATCTATGGACTGGTAATACCAAAAGAAAGACACTGGTGCAGCAGAATACCGGCTGCAAGGGCAGGTGCAAAATGAGGGAAACTCATCCTCCTTCATTTTTCTGGGGAAAATCTTCCCTCTCCATAAATTGCATCCTAGAGCCTTGGAATGCTACGTGCAATCTACGGGTGGCGTGCAGAACCCTTCTGGCACCAAGAGGTCTCTGAAACTGATACTATTGGTGTGCGAATGCCAGCTGATTCTTGAAATCCAACTGCTCTATGTTGAAGAGTTGTCTCAACCTCCAGGGAGCATTCATGATGTGTGAACCCACCAAGAGGTCATAGTGACAACCATGAAGGAGGAAAGCTAGCCCTAATCCAGATGCAGTGAACCTCACTATGACTATATTTGCACGACATGCTGACACATGGCTGGTTGAACTTTGGTTTACCAAAGAAACTTGAATTATTGCATCGACATGACCCCCTGAACTAGAAGCTAATACACAGGCTGGAATCACCTGCTAGGCAAAAATGGAACTGGCTAGTTTGTGGCTTAGTGTCATGTGTAAACCCTGCCAGTAGAGTCAAGTCCAACTCCACTATGGATTCATGGCCTCTTCCAGTTGGTGTAGGAGTTAACTCACTCTTTGAGAGCCCTGACACACCCACTGGGATACCAGCATTCACAATCACTGGGGGTGTGATCTAGATGCAGGTCGGCCAGAAGATCAGGAGACCTTGTAGGGTTAGCCTGCCTGCCCCCCACATCACTATCCCCCAAGCTGGGCACATAGTTTTAAAGCTAGCTAAATTTATCAGCAGGATTGTGCCAGCCCTTTATTCATCACAGGGAGAACTACAAGCAGACTACAAATAAAGTCAGAAGAAGATCTGCAAACAGTGGTTTGGGACAGCTATGACCAGGAATAACACTAGTACAGACAGTTAAATTGAGTTATGCGCAGCCTGGAGTGGCCCGAGAAGGCAGTTGTTGATCTACATTGCACATGGATAAGCTTTTAAACAGATCACAGATTTGTCCTCCAAAGATCTGGAATCCTCCCACAAACTGCAAAGGAGGAGGGACATGGAACCTGCCTTTTCCTTGGAGATTTTTGCCTCTGGCAGAGGGGTTATTCTTTTGCTTTCACTGCCAGCAGAACAACAGTGATGTTGTTAGAACAGAGTTCCACCGCCTCAGAGCAGGGTGTGGTAACACTGGAAAAATTCCTCTAATCATGGTATAAAAAGCCAGGCTAAATGAGTCAGGGAAGGTCTGGATTAAAAGGGAAAGATCCTATTTCTTTCCTTTGTAGATGGCAATTAGCTGGAGGAGTCCCTCATAGGTGCAGACTGGAACGATCTGAACCAGTGTTTCTCGATCTTGGCAACTTTAAGATGTGTGGACTTCAATTCCCAGAATTCCCCAGCCAGCCAGAAGTTGGGTGGTTTAACCAACTTTAACTTTAAATTGGTCTCAACACTAGTTTAGATCAATTTGCAAAATTTAGTAATGGGGGCCTATCAAAGGAGAAAGCTGAAAAGTCATGGAAATTAGGTTTGGATTCTTACGGGTGAGAGTGAAAATCCTGAAATAAACTGAGTACAGTACAACAAATGGTTGCCTATTTTGTGTAGCGAGAAGCCCAGGGAGGTTTCTTGTACCTAACTATCCACTTGGGTACAGCTTGCCCCTAATCACAGCCAGCAAGTCTTGGCCATGGTTTCTGCTGTATCCCCCATGAAGGTGTGCTCATCTTGCCCCCAAGCCCATGGGTACCCGTAGGGAGCAAGGGGCGATGAGGGGGCAAAGGATAAAATGTGCGTTACAACATAATGAGGTAAGTTCTGCCCCTTTCCTACTTGCATCACAAAGACACCCCTGGACTGGCTTAAGCTGTCCTTACTGTGTCGGTGTTAAGTAAACTTTTCTCCTTTATTTCAGCGCCATCCAAGAGTAACATCAAGGCTTGTCAAATCTGATAGGATGGGCCACCTGATACCTTGTGGGGGGGAGGAGTCAGGTAAATTGTTTATTTGGAAAGACAGAAGAAGCTAGGATCTCTTTATGAAGAAGACAAAACCATCGTTGACTGTTTTCTTTCTCCTTTCCTTCCTAGCTATACCCCATTCCATTTCTGTTTTATGCTCAACTGACGGGGTTATAACAAGAATGGAACTAAAACCAGATCATCAAAATGTCTTTCAATTAAAACTTTGGGCTTATTTTTCACAGACTTTTCTAAAGACTTCTGTGGTAGACCTCAACCATCTTCCAGCTTCCTTTGCTGGCCTTTTCCTCCCACTTCTCCTCTTTCCTTTTCCCTTTCTACAGCAATAACCAGTGAAGGCAAGCTGAAGAGGGGATAGGCCTGTTCTTTGGCCAGCAGTGTCCAGAGGATGGGGTCAAAAAAGTCAAGATGGTGGTCAGAACAGTGCAATTGAAGCCCTGTCCTTTTGTATGTATGCCAATGTCACATGCGGTGCAAAGGGGCAGAGCTTCGATCACCCTGCTGCCACCACCACCTTGACTTTTCCTTGAAGATACTGTTGTCCTTCATTAGAGTCAAACATTTTACAAATGGGATTTTGTCAAAGCAATAATCTCTGAGAACTATATTTTTCCAGGGCATCTAAATAATAAGTATGGACTCAAGTTCTCCAAACACAATCATGAAGTTTCAGTTGGTAAGATGTTCAGGTCAAACAAGGACTTCCGGCACTCTCTTCTCCTTTTCCATAAATCATTAGCTCCAGAAGGTGAACTTCAGGAAAGGGGAAACAAGTCAAAATGGCACAAGCTGAGCCCAAATTTGTAAACCGGAGGCCCACAGGCTGGTGAAGATTTGTTCCCCCTATAGTCAGTAGTACTCAGCAACAACACTAACTGAAGTAAATCCATGCAGAACAGCTGGAAATCAGAGTCCCTAATATCTATAGCCTGCCCTGTAGCCTACCTTATCACTACATTTACATCTTTCCCCTAAGAGGCAAAAAACAGTGCTATTTTTTTCCACCCCTCCTTTATAGTCTCAAAGCAACCCTGTGAAATAGGCTGAGCCAAGAGAGCAATTGCTTTAAAATCATCTACAGGTCTTCTGTGTTATATCCAGTATGGAGGATCTGGAAATTGGTACTTTAATTTGCCCTCCAGGTTCAGAACATGTTAACTTCTTCAGGAGGGCCTGCCTTCTGGGCCAAAGGAAGATCTGCTACACAGGTGCCAAGCCCCCCAAGTGGAGATGAGTACACACATACCGGCCAGCTTCAAAGGTGAACCGCGTGGCATCTCGTCCATAGCGACGCAGGGAACACAAAGGCCAAGAAACAAGCTTGACACGGGGATTGTGCATATCCCAGAGGTAAATGTTTTCATGGGTGATCTGCAACTTGCATTCGCCATAGATATCCAGATTGGGGCATGGCAGGAGGAAGACATTAAACCGGTCTGCAGAAGAAAATGCAAAAATGGTTCAGGACCCCCAACGTTCCTTAATTTGTCTTCCAAAATCCCCTACCCTCTTGTTTCCCAGACTCCAAGTTTGGGGCTCAAATTAGTTGTACCTTAACTTTGAACCCTTTCACTTTGTTTGCCTTTCTGGCTACAAAGGAAGTCTCAGTCAAGGCCACATCTTGATCTGCCCCCAAGCTTTTGTCAATGTTTACTGCCAGCACTGTTCCCAAAACACTCCTAGCACAACTGTTTTTTCCAGTGCCTGTTTCAAAGCAGGTGGCAGCTTCTCCAGCTTGCCTGCCCCGTCCTCTTTCCAAGGCAGGGGCACATGGACCTTTGAGGATGATGGCCACCTTTGATCTTCCTGGAGCACGCCAGGGATGGCCCTCCAAAAGTAGGTAGGTAGGTAGATGGGTAGGTAGGAGGGAGGGAGGCCTGGGACCCAAGAAACTTTTAGATGGGTAAAAGCAAACATATTTCATTTCAGTTGAACCAAAATGATATTAAATGCAATTAATATGATTGCTTCACTCCTTATATAATATTCCCCATCTACGTAGCACATTGAAGATTACAGCTTGGTGACAGCAGGTCTGAAGGCTGCATCAAAACCGAAGACTGCAGGTGGCCCCGGGTCCTCAGGTTCTGCCCCCTGGGTTTGGACTGGCCGAGGAATAGCACCTGCCTTACCAGTTTGCTCACACTGCACTCCAGGTGCCAGCAGATCCGGCTCACCAAGGCTGATGTCATTGAGCCGTGCCCCCAGGCATTCAACGGACAGTGTTTTGTACCATTCCTCTGCTTCCAGCTCTGCAAGATGAAAACCACCCTTTGTCGGCAAATGGCATTCAGGCTGATTGCTATTCAATGCAACCCCACCCATCACATCCAGCTTTGTCAGCCATCACTCCAAGGCAACCAGAAATGCCACCACTGCAGCAGCAGCCTCCTACCTGATTCACAGGTGAACGTCCGAGCTGAGTCATCCATAAATATGATGGCCACAGCTTGTCGCTTGGTCTCCTTGGGCAGCCTTGTGATACATTTCACGTTGCTGATCTCAGTGACCTGGAGGGGAAGCCAGATTCTGTATGGAAGCCCCTTTTCCTGAGGCATCTCCCGGCAAGGTCTACAACCGCTTGCCCTAACTTGGTGGGCAACTTGGTGTTAGGACTGCAACTCCCTAGGTAGAGTTGCAAGGCATCTGGAAGATGCTGTTTGGAGAAGGGTGCCATTATGACTTCCATTCCAGCACAGAGAAAAGGAAAAAACTTTAATTCTGGTTAGCTCCTTGGATCATTATCCAAGGACATCCAAGAAACATGGGTAGAAGAGGGATGGTGGATGCTGGGCAAAACAAGCAACTTTGCTGGGATAAGCCGCTGGAACTAGATTTCTTTATTTTCCAGGTATTCCAGCTTTAGAATTTGAGTGAGGTCTGAAAATGGACAATTATTTCCAGCTACCAGCCATGGTCCAGCTAGGGAGCAAACATCTAGTTGAACTTGGAAGATTTTCAAAAGCTAGGCAGTGGTTGGATTCACTTAGTACTTGGATGGAGGATCAGGTTGGGAAGCAAAAATGTGAAAAAAGTCCCAGAAGAAGGCAGTGCCAAACCACTTGCTGGTATTGTGTTCTCGAAGTCATCAGGAGCAACTTTACCTTACCACCTAGGATCTTCTTGGGTCAAATGAGCCTGGTGCCCTTTTGGCCAGAAGGGCCTTTGGTTGGTCTGGAGGCAAATCTCCAAGCTCATGGGGCAGGCTCCATAGACCTGGCTCCATGGACCTCCATAGACCTGGCTCCATTTTCAAGGAACCTGAGGGCATCAGAATGGGCTGGGGTGCCCAGAGTTTGGCTCAAAGGCACGTGGCTAAGACAATGGGATAGAAGCTTTGGAAGTCACCGAAGAAGCCAGAACAGACCGGCAGTAGGAAGGGATATTATGAAAGGACCACTCCCTCTAACACATAAACAAGGTTATTTTTGCCATGATGGTTCCCTTGGGCAAATATGTTTTTCCAGCCAGCACTGTCACATGAACCACAATGGTGCCCCAGGGAAGCATTTAATGGTAATGAGAATGTCACCGAACTAGGAAATGATGCTGAATTGGAGCAGGCAAATTGCAAATTGGCTCTGAGAAGGAGTCTGCCTCCTTCTGCTCTCAGGAAGGTGCAGGGGCACTCCCTGATATGCTCCATCAATGTTCCCCAACCTGGAACCTTCCAGATATTTTTGGACTATACTGCTGGTGAGGAATTCTGAGCAGTGTAGTCCCAAGACATCTGGAAGGATGTTGGGAATGACTGCTCTAGATCAAGGAAGTTGGGGAGATCTCACCTTTGGGCACCCCCGTAAACACACTGACTTCTCATCTGGGTACTTCTCCAACCTCTGGGGACCTTTGCTGGAAGATTTCCGGAACACCAGCCAGCAACGCCGGTAGATCTGAGTCAAAGAGAGAAAGGGGAGGTGGGAGGAGGAGCAGGAGGATCTGTTTGTATGAGCAAGGTAAAACTCAAGGAAACAATGCCGCACCCGCCATTTTGCAGAGCTGGACACACCCCGGTGGACACCCTTGAAACCACCTTCAGAAATATGTTTGTCTTACCCACATCCACAGAGATTCTGAAGCAGCCGGGAGTTTCTGTTCCAACACCCCCAGCTGCCAGAAATAACAACTGTGCTTTTATGCACATGACTGCATAGCTCAAGAGTTGTGAATCCAAACCCCTTAATTTTGCAGAATCTTTTTTGCACTCATTTCATTTTCCAATTCACTTCCCCAGAGTCTGGGGAAGCTGTTGGACTTTCTAGGAATCTAGTGCTCTCCAGGAATGTTGGATTACAATGCCCATGATCAGACACACTAGCTTGGAGGAAGGCATTTCCAAATGTTAACCATTCACTGAACTGCCCTTGATCTCCATGGGCAGCCAAGATCTTGGCCTTTAATGACTCTAAGCTGGTCTACCTCCTCATTTCATACTATATCAGAATAAATAGCATTGGGATGTCTAAGTCAGGGCCAAGTCTCCAAAAGCACAGAGGAACCTAAGTGGTGGCACAGGCAAGGACAGGGAATGTCTGTGTGGCAGATGGTAGCATGTGCACCATGACATCAACATGCAACTGATGTGACTTACTTGCTTCAAATGTCACGATGCAACTGACGCAAATTACTCATTGCAGTAAAGTCATGATGATGTCCTGGTGTCTTGTAATGGACACCAAGGGTTGATATACAGGATTATGTACAGGCCATAGATGTGAACCGTGTGGCTTAGAAGTTCTAGATCTCAGCAAGGAGGTGTTTCGGAGGCAGAAACTTAGATGCACCAGAAAATGGTCCTTGCCATTTTATATCCATATTTTCTCCCCATATTAGGCTTTCTTTGACTGACACCTAACTGAATGATATGGTGGACTGGGGACATTACACTTCTCACTGTAACAGAATACAAATGTTATTACAAGATAAAATGAACCAGCTAAAAAGGCAAACTTTATGGAAAAGTGGTGGATGAGGAAGGGAATAAAAAGGTACCTATGTAAAAGGGATGCACACAGCTGCATTTTAATTGCTTCCCCTTTTGAATGTTTTAAATAAATTTGTCATCTGCTCAGAGAACATTGATTATTAAGCATAATAATAATAATTGCAAAATATTATTATTATTATTATTATTATTATTATTATTATTATTATTATTATAGATACCAATAATTATAGGTGCCTTAGGTGCAATCCCAAAACATCTGGAAGACCAGCGGCATTGACAAAATCACCATCAGTCAATTACAAAATGCAGCTTTACTTAGAACAGCTTATATCCTGCAAAAATACCTCTAACACCATCAAACAAGAACATCTGCCTATCCCATGTCCTTGGGAAGGAGTAGACAGGTGGATAAAAATGCCAAATTCAATCTGAACATCTGGCTGACTGTGCGACCATCAATAGTGGTAGTAGTAATAGTAGTAGTAGTAATAGTAGTAGTAGTAGTAATAATAATAATAATAATAATAATAATTAAAAAAAAAACCTTTGGAGGGCTTGGGGTAACACAGAGAGAGGGACACTTCAAAAACCTGTTCCACCATCAGCACATGGACTGCAGAAGCTCCCTGGGACAGCTGAGGGGGCCTGCCTGGGGAGTGGACTGGGGAGAACAGATCACTGCTAATAACGCCAGCTGTAGCCCCGAATGGCTGGAGGCACCACGTTGCCACAGTAGGGGTGGGCAATCTTTTGGTGGTGAATGGCTACCCTAGGGGGTACGAGCACATCACACACGTGGATGGGTGGTGTGGCTTTTTTTTTTTTATATGATAGGCCTGCTTAGCTTCAGTAGATGGCAGTATCTGTCCAACCTTGGCTGATCTCAGAAGCTAAACCGAGTTGGACCAGGGAGCTTCCCAGGAAATCCCAGGGTTTAGGCTACACCAGATGAAGAGGGTGGCGAACCACAACCAGACACCTCCCAAGAAAACTACCAGGATGCATCCAGTAAGTCACCAGCTCAGTTAGGACGAAGCTTAGGCCGATTTTAGGCTCACAGTTTCGTAAACAGTATAGGATGTACACCTGTGGCCCATTTCAAAATACCGGGAACTTGTGCCTTTGGTTTATAGCAGTGTTGTCCAAACTTGGCCACTTTAAGATGAGTGGACTTCAACTCCC